TGACCTTAGAACTGAAGAAGCTTCTCGGATGAGAGGTGAAACGTCTTCAAGCAACTTAAAGAAGTCCAGACGCTTTTCTTTGCAAGCTCCTTTGACTTCTTATTTGTCATTTGCTAAAGCAGGTTGTTACAACCCGTCTAGGGGCCAGGCAATAACATGAGTGAAGGACTCGCTCGCCCCACAAGAGCGAAGCAGTGACAGGAAACAAATCAGTTTGTTAAAAGGTGATTTATTTACAAAGTGATAAAACAGATACAACAAAACGGGAGTGTCAACACGTCGGGTGAGCTAAGGCCAAAATAATAAACAAAACGAATCTAAACTGATTCTCACACACCTAACCTTACCAAAACAAGAGCCAAAAACAAAGACAGAGTCTGACCTCCTTAACTTACTCAAAACAGGAGAAAACAGGTGATCAAAAGAAACAGCAGCTCACCCCTACCCACTCCACTTCCTCAACTGTCACAAAGTCACTGAAGTGGCTGTCACAGGCGTACTGCTTGGATGTTGGGAGAAACGCGAGAACCTCTCTCACCACGGAGCTCCATCCTTCATTTGATGGGCGGGGCCTCCAGCTGGAACCAGTCACTCTGGAGCTGTATATCCACGCACCAATCGCAGCAGGGCCTCGGCAAAGCTGAATTAACATAACCAGATGCGTTGAGCGCACAAAACAAACACATACAATGCAGGTTTGTAACAAGGTCTCCCTCAAGGAAGATTAATATGATTTACACCAGGTGTGTCCATATTGATGTAACTGACTGTGCATCCAGAACCTTCTCCTGAGACACAGACAATAGTGTTGCATGCCCTGGAGACAGTATTAACATTTAGATGGTAAGGGATTACTTTAAAAAGCATTTTTAAAATTTCTTTTAAAAATGTAAAAAAAATAAAATGGACAAGGAGGACAAGATGCACTAACAGTCATCGTCCACATAGACACGATGATCTTCTCCATCGTCAGATTGTGCCCATCCACAGAAGGAGTAAAGGTTTTGCTCTGGTCATAAAAAGTTGCAAATTATGTTTTTTTATTTTAACATTTGTTCCTTAAACAACACTTCTGACATGCAAATACACTCGCCACAGCAATCACAGCAATCGCTACCACCACAATGACAGCGATGATCCCGCCTGTCAGGTACGCGTCGACTCTTCACACTCTCTCTGCTTTACATTTGCTCCATCTCTCTTGGCTGAATTAGAGGAAAGAGCAGACACACCAAAAAAGTTTAGACAACGACCCTTTTTTCTCAAAAGATAAATTTACCAACAGCAGGTCGTTTATCTCACCTGAGTTTTTTTGTACTTCCTCTGTCGCTTCTGGACAAAGAACTGCAAACACAGAGAAGAAACTAAATTATGGCCTTTTGTTTTAACATTTGTTCTTTAAACGACACTTCTGACATGCAGATGCGCTCACCACAGCCAGCAGGCCAGCAATCACAGCCAGCACCACCACCACGATGACGGCGATGATCCCGCCTGTCAGGTGCTTCATGGTCATGGTCGGGGGCTCCTC